ATGACATAATGAAGGGGTGTACAAATGGCCTGTCCTTCATGCAATCAATGGAAGGGCCCCCCCCTTCTCTGAACAATAATATCCCTTGGATCACCCTGACCTGTATCACCATCTCCAGGCACAATGACTGCAAGTTCATCACCGGTTGGAAGGTTGTACCATCGGGGATCAGTAAAAGCCTTGTAGCTCAGTCTAACATGTAACCTTGGAGTCTCTGCCTGTGTCCTCAATCGCTCATGTGCCTGACGATAGAGTACTATAAAGGGATTATATTGCTCCATCATGTCCTGCAAGTCAGAAAAGGTTTGATTGTTTAGATTCCGATTTGCCCTGTGATTCTGCCTTATCTGCAATGCATTCCTCAGTGCATCCTCACGTGCCAGTGCAGGATCATGGATGTAAAGCTGAGCATAAGTGGGTGATACATCTTCCCCGTATGGGATTAAGGAACCATGCTCATGATACAATCCACCATGTATTTTAAAGACATATGGGCCCCGACCACCTTGCAAGACAGACTCATCTAATTTGACACCAAGTGATATAAATGCAAATGCATTATTATATGCACAAATATTTTTGTGAAATTCCTTGGCATTGTCTGTATTATCCTCAAGAAGTGACTTTAAGGTATGAGGGACTGGTCCAAGTATTGGAAGGATGATCTTTCCTTGCTTGCAACATTTGCCAAACTTTGGTGTTGTCTGAGAGCTAGCTGACAGATGCTCATCCATCCAGTGTAAAGCTCCACAGTGTGAACACTGTATGTTCATATATCCCACATCATGTCTTGGAAACCTGGCCTCCACAACTGGCTGCCGTCCAATGGGTAATTGTGCAACAGGAAGTGGAAATGGAGGGATGGCTGCAGGGTCTGGAATGGCTGGGGGTGGGGCATTGACTGCAGGTAGGGCAATAGCTGGGGGTGGGGCAAGTGGGAGAATAACTGGAGGTGGAGGAATAGCTGGGGGTAGGCCCAACTGTAGCTGTTGCTGTGCATTTGCTGCTGGAAAAACAGGTGGATGGTGATGCTGTGGTGGTGCTAGCTGCAACATGGGTACCTGTTGTTGTGGAACTGGATTTCCAGGTGGATGGTGAAGCTGTGGTGGTGCCCACTGTACAATAGGTGGTTGTTGTTGTTGTTGTGGAACTGCATTTCCAGGTGGATGATGAAGCTGTGGTGGTGCCCACTGTACAATAGGTTGTTGTTGTTGTTGTGGAACTGGATTTCCACCTGGATGGTTATGCTGTGGTGGTGCTAACTGCAAAATGGGTACCTGTACCTGAGGTTGTGGAATAGCATTAATATGTTGCTGCTCTGGAACTGGATTTCCAGGTGGATGGTGAAGCTGTGGTGGTGCCCACTGCAAAATAGGTTGTTGTTGGTGTTGCTGTGGATGGTGATGCTGTAGTGGTGCTAACTGCAAAATAGGTAGCTGTGCCTGGACTGGTGGCTGCAGTTGAGCAGGTTGGCGTAATGGTGGTAAAGCATCATACTGAGCATACAGATCAGCTACTGCAGCAGAGCCAACTACAGGCTGGACAGCTTCAGGTGCTAATTGGACATTTACTGCCTGTAGTTGAACAGGTACATTTGCTGGCTGATGACTATGCTGGGTATGTGGTGCTAATTGCAAAATTGGTTGCTGCAGTTGAGCAGCTACAGCTACATTGTCTCGTGTACGACCTGGTGCCTGTGGCTGAATAGGTGCATTTGCTGGGTGATGACCCTGCTGTATATGTGGTGCTACCTGCAAAATTGGTCGCTGCATTTGAGTAGCTGGATTTCCTTGTCCACGCCTCTGCCTTTGCCGAACAGGTAGTAATGGTGGCAAATCTCTATACCGATTAAGCAAGTCAGTCATTGCATCAGAGCCAACTGGAGCAGAGCCATTTGCAGCAGAGCCACCTGCAGCAGAGCCACCTGCAGCAGAGCCACCTGCAGCAGAGACACCTGCAGCAGAGACACCTGCAGCAGAGCCACCTGCAGCAGAGCCACCTGCAGCAGAGACACCTGCAGCAGAGACACCTGCAGCAGAGACACCTGCAGCAGAGACACCTGCAGCAGAGACACCTGCAGCAGAGACACCTGCAGCAGAGCCACCTGCAGCAGAGCCACTTGCAATAGAGCCACTTGGCTGAGCAACCAAAAATGGATTATCAGGTTGACCTCTACCAACAGGAAGATCTCCAAATGGTTGAGGAGGGAGTGGTATATTAGAATTTACAGCTAAACGCCGATGACGATCAGATGGAGATGTCATTTGTAATTGTGCCTTATGCTGCCATCACTCCTCCTCCCTATTACGCTCAGGTGTTCGATCCATAATAATACAGCAATCTCAGCAGCAGCAACAGAGACAGAAACCCTGGCAAGAAAGGGAGAACAGAGGAGTGATAGAAATTTGGAGTGAATTAGGCTAAAATAGGTCAAAAATGTGAAAATTAAATTATGAATAAATCTTTACAGCATCAGAGAAGGTATCAATACTAACCTGGAGTTGTTTTGTATCTCACAGGGTCACAGAGGGGATAGAAATAGCAATAAAGCCAAAGGCCACAGAATGGGAGGTCAATTTTAACTGTATGGATTATATCTGAGTAAAAAATGGTAAAACTAATTACAGGGAAAGGACTCACTTTCAATACTCTACTTATGCCTATAGGGAGCAGTCAGAAAAGCAGTAGAGAGTGCCAGGGAAAAGGAATTTAGACAAAGGGGTCTAAAATAGGCCAAAAATGTGAAAAATAATGCATAAATAATTTTTAACAGCATGAGAGAAGGTACCAATACTAACCTGGAGGTATGCTATCTGTTCCAGCAATAATAGAAACAGCAATCAAGGCAATGCAGCACAGAATAGAGGAATGTCACTGTAAGAATAATATTTGAGCAAAGAAAAGTAAGGTTAATTAGAGGGACAGGACTCACCTTCAATACTCCACTTATACTCACAGAGAGGGGTCAACAAAGCAGTGGAGAGTCCCAGGGAAAGGAATTCACACAAATGGGTCTAAAATAGCCCCAAAACACGAAAAATAATGCATAAATAAATTAAAACAGCATCAGAAACCCCAAACCATACCTGAGATTATAGGGCAGGCTTCAGATTGTGTGTTCCAATGAGATGAACACCTGGGAAAGAGTAATTTGACTGCAAATAAATTATTTAATCATTAAAAAAAGCGAAAATTAAATAATAATAGATAGGAGCTCACCACACCTTTTATATTGCCTGAGGAGTTGAGGAAAGCTTCAGAGATAATAACTGTTCAATATTGGGGGTCCAGGGCCAGTGGATGGCCAGACTCTAACTGCAGAATAATATATTTAATTATTAAAAAGCGAAATTTAATAGAATTAAATAGAGGCCTCAACACACCTTGGGATGGGCCCAAATCCCTTGAGAAATAATCTAAAGAGCAACCCCTCACAATTTAAGGAGCACCAAGCTGGGGGAGGGAGAGGGGAAAGGAGAAAGTGTGGCAGCCTCAAGGCTTTGCAGCGGCTATGGTGCAGAATGTTCCCACGCATCACAGAAGTCACGAAAAAGCTCCCAGCGCGCATCACATGGTGTCACACAATGCTCCCGCGGCACCAAAATACTCCTGCGAGTGCAGAAATACTCCTGCGGCATCAAAAATGCTTCCGCGAATGCCAAAAAGCCTCCGGGTTTGCTCCCGCGCTGACTAATAACACCCTTTGGGCGCTGCGCGCCATCACAAATTGGGGAAAAAGCTCGGGCGCTCCGCGCCCTCACAAATAGGGCCTGCGGCACCTAGGAATGCCCACGGACCCACCATGCTCCTTTCACTTATTTGATGGATGGATATATCATATTTCAACACTATGTGCCTTGGTAGGATTGCTGGACACAAATCCACCAATGCTGCATGAGTCACTTTCAATCCCACTTCAAAACATTCCCATTCCCTCTTTTTTTCCATCTCATTCTGATTGATATTGAGGTCATCTAAGAAATGTCCCCAATATACATATGGAACTTCTTCCAATTACCTTCCCATTATATGTCATCAATTGTGGATCTCTTGCATAGTGTGAGAGGTACCCCTCTCATGGGAATGTAACCATCTTATTGGATTATATTACCCATATTGTTTCCTTATTTTCTACTATTTTTAAACTATCTAATTCTTCAATCACATGTGTTTATATTAGTTTGAAGATCTATGTACATGTTAAGGAGTGATCACAGAGCTTATTGGAGGGTTTCTGGAGAAACCTGCAGGAAGCCGGTAGGACTTGGCTTGAGCTTATAGGCTGCACCCTCACGAGATCATGTCATCCAATTTCAGACAGGCAGATGGGAATCCCATGGAGTCCAGGAGTAGTTGATGGGTTGAGAGGTTGGAGGGTCAACTGCAGGAATCCTGTGGAGGTTGAAGGGTCAGGCAGTGATGGGTTGGAGGTCGAGTGATAGATAGGTCAGAGCCTGTGGGCTCTGACAAGGTAATTAGTGGTGTGTTTCAAAGAGAGGAATAGAGCGGAAATGTACTGAGATTACTGGGGGGAATCTAAGCTGATTTTCTGACTGGATTGTATGTACAACAGCTGCCAGACTATATAGACTGTGGAATGTATGTCATACCAAATCCAGTAATAATGAAATCCAAACTAGTAATTATGAAACAAGATAAGTAAACACCAAATTTGGTGTTAGGAATGGAACAGAGTGGAGTGGAGTCCAAAATGTGATAGGCCGTTAGACCATAACAGGGCGGGAGTGGTGTCTGAAATGTGACAGGTCATTTGACCATAACAGGAATGGGGCTCAGTTAGAGAGCTGATGGGTTTTCCGAGTGGGGTCCAGTTGACTGATGTGTAGGACAGGGTTGGAGATAGACAGGTACAATGTGCATGGGTCCTGGTGGGTACATATTCTGGTGACTGATTTGTGAGACAACTAAGGTCAGACAAGGGCAGGTTCATCGTCTGGGTCCTGGTGGGTATTCTGGTTAACTGATAACTGGTACCCTGGGGTCATGTGGTGTAAGTGGTAACACCATTGCTATATGTATATGCAGAAGCCCTGGGTTCCATTCCCAGTCTGGCCATTCATTTTCTACACTTTGAACAATTAGAATGATAAAGGGATGTGGATGCAAGACACTGAAAGTCCAGGAGCTCAGACACAGATACAGACAAGCACCAGTCAGGTGGTTGTAGATTAATATCCATAATTTACATCAACATGTGGACTCAGAGTTAAGGTATTATGCATTAGATTGCTCATCTCCCATCAATTCCATTTGCTTATCATTCAGAACTGTAGCTGTAAATTGCACAAGAAGCAGTGATTTCAACTTTGCCTCTCAGCTGCATCCTTATAATTATCTCAATCATGGTGGTGATTTCTTCCTCTCTTCTCCTCTGTCACAATGTCATACAATCCTGCTCAAATTGCTTTTTTCATTCAGGCAAAAAGTAACAAGTAAGCATGGCTGGAGAGATGTCTCCATTAAAAATGCGAAAGTTTAAGTACTGGATCATGGCCGGTTCTGGTACATGTATTTTTCCACTCCACAAATATATATTGATTTAATGTTCAGTAGTTGCATTACATGACACAACTATGACACTTCCTCAGAAGTATAGTCTATTGGGCTACTGACCAACCTAAAACACGAAACTGAACTTCACCTTCCAATGCTTAATGAAGAACATGTTCAGAAGAAATCAGAAAGGTTTTCACATGCCATGGTTGTGAAAGATAACAGGGACTGTGACATAGCAGGGCATTGTGGGGCAATGGCCATAGGATATGTGTAGAAGTTATCGGAGGATCAAGGAAGGTGGGGAGGTGTAACACTGCGGGGAGGCCAGCACTACTACTATATGATCATAATGTCAAAAAATGTGGATAAATGCACACTCAGAATATTATTATTGGCCTGTAATTTTTTTATTCTTACTGAACTGAGCTCTGTAGGACAGTATGTGCGGAAGCAGGAAATGTATGCCATATTACCCCAATCCGGGAGGGCCCAAATGGGGAAGAGAGTTTGATACAGAGGCATAGACAACCAAGCTGCTCATATTGAAGGGTTATGCCCTCAATTTGTTATGTGTAGGCAGGAGCAAGCTCATCTAAAGCAGCTTGGATCTTGAAAGGGGATTGTGGATACCTCAAATGGAACTAAGGAGGAAAGTCATCACTTCGCCGCCACCAATAATCTCCGTTAACATCTCCACGCTTATCTCATCATGGCCATTTTCATGCATTTCCCAACACTTTTGAGCACCGGATGCTGAGTCTATTTTGCCTGTGTCTGGCGGTGACAGTTTGCAATCCAAGCCATTGCCGTTTATAGATTGGAGACGCCTAGCGGGCGCTCCTGCGCCAAGTTTTCTATTTAAACGTCCGAAGGCACCATTAGAAGAACGCGGAAGTTTAGAAGCAACCCTAGAATGAAAACATTTAAATGCATCTCACGAGTTCTATGTGCGTCCCGCGACTGATGACCCATTGGAGGTGGTATGCTGTTAGGTTGGGGTTGGAATCAGAGCTTTTTAGAGCTGGGAGGAATAGTAGGTATATTCGAAGCTTGATTAAATGGTGACACATGATCCATGACCACTATTCGAAATTGAAACAAGGTGCCATTAAATGAATTGCAGAAGCACTGATTCCAAACACTTCTCATTCCATCAATCAACTTTCTGACCTAACATTTAGTAATGAGCCTGGCCAGCACCTGTTGCATCTTCTACTTTTTTGTGGAATTCTCTCCATGCCTAGTTGAAATTGAAACCCTGCCCATCATTTGCCAATCTGTTTATTAAGTTTATATACGGAGACATTTGTGCCGCACCGGCTCATCGTGCATTACAAGCACGGCGTTGAATATGAGCACTGAGATGATAAGAACGCTTGTCCACATCGCAATTGATCTCTTTTCCTCTTTTCTGGGGCGATATTCGGAGTTACTGTGTATCATACGTGGACCCTCGTAAAATTGGGATGGTCATTCACTGAGATCACCAGCGACACATCGCTTGGGTGCCTGATCCTCGAGCAGGGTGAAAATACCATTTATGTCTGGAAGTACTCTTAACGATCAAACACTGGATGCACTAGGTCTCCTTCGCTTTATGTGCGAAATTTCGTCTACCAGTCACTTCCTTGGGAATGAATAATGTGCAGGATGATATTTTTATGGACACTTCAGATGATTATAACCAAAAGCGTGAGTTCCCTAGGCTACTGGGTAAAAGTTCGCGATTAATGCAATCAAAGCTGGTTCGAGTAAGACTGTTAATGATTTATTCTTCGTCGAGGATGGATTCTCAAATTTCAAAGCCTAGTCTTGTGGGTTTGACGGCAATTATTGCGAACCTGTAGGTATTTTTCATTATCCGGCAATGTCTCGCAGATTCACCTTTGTATCCAGTGTCTCAGGTATACTGGATTTACGGTTCTTTCTGGATGTTCGTGAACGGAATGCCCACCCAAATGGTACATTACAAATACGGGACCTGGTGCCTTGTTCCCAATTTATCTCAAATGCAATAATTGAAGATCTGCAAGATCCAGAAGATGAGGTGCCTTTCGCCAGCCAAACTCCAGGGTAACAAGTGTTGGGTCCATCAGCTAGCGAGCAACGAAACAACGACTCATATTCTATAATCAATCTTGACGATTTTCCGTGGGCAACGGGGGATTAAACCGTGTAGAAGGCAGAACTGGAAACAACACGGTTTGAGGGCAATCCGCTGCATGATGCGGATTGGTGGGATTGAGATATTTATAAGAATATATATCTGAGGATTTGATTAAGCAATTATATGTATTGGATGTTTTCTGTTTATAGAGCTACCCCGTGTGTACAAGAACTCTCAGAAGCAATTTAATCTGGCATCCAGTTTCTTTTTTTTAAAACATTGAAAGGCTGTTGGTATCAGCCTCACTCGGTCGATAACAGACAGGACAAAAGTATCCTTGTTGTAGATGATGGAGTGTAGCGTACATGATGGGTGCTTGGTATGAGAGTGAAAGGTAGCTACTACATCGTGGAGTCTCTTTCTGGAGAGAAATAGTGGGTTTTGGTTAATATATATATGCCCAGGATAAAGGGAGGAGACAAAGGAATATCTTTTTATTAGGGCGGAGAAGCAAAATAGAGATCTCGATTGGGGTGGACAGATAATAAGAGGTCTTGATCGGGGCGGACAGACAATAAAATTGATTAATGGTGATATTAAAGGTGTGTGCATGTGGTAAGACGTCCAGGATTACGAACATGCACCTTATGGATAGATAAACAAATCCTGTTTTCAGGGTAATTTAAGGCATTAATTTAAAGTATATTGTATTGTTGTACCTACTGGAGGCTTCGTTGATATTTCAACCACGTAAGTTGTCATGATATTTTCTGACCATTTCCGCATTATTTATGGCGCAGCAAGTCCATTGTAATAAATACGAGTATAATTAGAGAAGACGGCAATCTCTGTGCTTCGGGTGAAGACGGGGGAATGACGATGTCGCAGTTTCGGCGGCGTACTTCGGGAGAATCTGTATAAACAGGAAATGTGAGGCAACATCTGTTTTGCCTGGTTATAGGGCACTGCAATACAGTGCGGTGCATCTGACAACACCGGCTTCTCCATGGAAGTTGTTGCCCCTCATGTCTCCTGCCAATGATCTCATCCTTCCTGCCAACGACCTCTTCCTTCCCGTACTTCCCTCCCCGTTACTCTCAACAGCCGTCTATCTACCGCCACCGTGTCGCTTCGTCACTATATCTGTTCAGTTCCACCACGCGCGGACCGGGACTCAACGAGGAAGCAGCTCCCAGCATCCTTCCAGTGAGTATATAACGTTTGGGAACGGCTCCAATCGTGATAGGCACTCATTGTGCTCATTCTATATCAGATTTCCAATAAGACGTTATTAAATTGGAGCAGCATTCATTCTAAGGTTTTTGACTTCTATCAATCAAATTTTCTGGCTTAACCTGGTTCTAGCATTCAGTATGCACTCAACGCAAGAATCGGTGATTGGACCTTTTACGGAAGACGCTGAGCCAGGTTATCCCGGACAAATTCAATGGGTCGGCGTTAATGCATTGGTGAAAATCCCTCCTGTACAATTAGACCATATCAGTGTGGGCCAACGTTGTCATGTGCCCTTCATCATTGTGCCCAGCACAGAACAAAGAACGCACGAAAGACTCATGTTATAAGATGGCTTCCAGAACAGGAATGTCCCGCGCTAACCCATCGAGCATTACAGGCTTCGCACTGAATGGAGAAACCAAGATGGCAGCTTCCCTTTCAAACACTAACCCTGGCTCTGGTTCTGGAGCATAGTGATTAGAGGCCATCACGGCACCGAGATGTATCTTGATGTATCTTCGTTCGTGGTAGGAATTGTCGATTCCTTCCTCTCTTCCACTCAGTCACTATGCCACTCAACAGTGCTCAAACCTCTTCCTTCGTTCAGGCAGAAAGTGACCAGTAAGTAGAGGTAGAGAGATTTCTTGATTGAAACTCATCAGTTACTAGCCAGCTCCTTAGATACTGGATCCTGGCTGCTCCTGGTACATATATCTTTTTAATTCCACAAATTCATCTTGATATTCTGTCTAGTCATTGCGATATATGACACAGTCTTGACATTTCCCCAGGAGGTCAGGTTTATTTGGACAGGAAAATTAAGGGGCATCACTCTGCTATATGTGACGGCTCGGTTATCTATGCTTCTGTATCAAATTCTCTTCCCCATCGTTGTCCTCACACCATTGTGGGAGAAGGTATGCGTTTCCCGCTTGAATGTATATTCTCCTACATATTTACAATTTCCCCATCAGTTAGGGATTCCTCTTTACAGCTGTGGGAGAAATAATTGATTTGGTGGTTGTTTTCTTTTAGTGGCTGTTCCTTAACATTGAAGGTTGTTCTTTCTAACGCATTAATCGCGGAGATTTCATCTGGAGGTACGATACAAGTTGTAACGCCAAGATGATCATTAATCGGAATAGGAATTTTATTGGCACGTGTCTATGCCATCATGCATTCACGACGGTATCTGTTCTCATGCTTGGGGTTCATA